TTAAAAATTAATGTAAGAGAAGATTTTTAGTTCTCCTCTGATATTTGGGATATGATGCTTTAATCAAAAAATAAAAACTTATTCTTAAGTAAAGAATACTACACAGATCTTTTAATCAGTACAGCAGCTGTTTCGCAGAGCAGTTCTGAGGGCAGCGGAGCAGGAACTGAGACTGGGGGAGGTTTTTGTACGGCTCTCTGTCACTGTGTGAGGTCTGGAGCACCATAGTCAGCCAAACAGTAGTAATCAGCTGCGTCATCAGGCTGGACTTGACTGATCTGTAGAGTGAAGTCAGTCCCCGATCCAGATCCACTGAACCTCACTGGAGTCCCAGTTTGGAGGGTGTTAGCATCATATACTAGGAGCTTAGGAGCTTCTCCAGGTTTCACCTGATACCAGGATACATCATCACTAAGATCACTGGAAGTGCTGGTTTTACAGCTGAGAGTCACTGTGCTGCCTGGGAGAGCAGATTTCACTGGGGGAGTCTGAGTCACTGTGTACTGTCCTCTGGATCCTAATAGAATGAACAAAAGGACACAGTCATAAGAAATTATGAAATCACTGGAAGACAAAATTAATATAAGATCTGAAACAGAGAGATAAATTATTCTAAGTTTGCTGCCTGAGTTTCATCCACAGCCTCCCCTGGACTCTCACCCTGAGTGCAGAAGACGAGCGCTGAGATGATGATGGTGATGAAGCTCATGGTTCCCTGTGTCTCTGTGCCAGTGAGACCCGACTGTGACATGAAGAGTTAAACCTGGGGGGTTATAAACACATCAGGCAGGAAACGTCAGTGACGTGTGCAATGCTGACGCCCGCGATGCTCCATGCAGAGAGTCTCTGTGGGTTCCAGCCGAGACCCTTCATCAGAAGTCCTCCTCCTAATATCTTACACATTTCCTTTGAGTGTCTTTGATTTGTAATGATCCTATTTCCTTGTAGTTCATATTTTTCAATTTCTGCATATAACCACTTTTTAATTATTAACAAAGAAAATATTTATAGAAAGACAAAATAGCAGGAAAATAAATTTATTTACATTGTACAAAGGAGTGATAGAATTCTGATTGGCCGCTGTGTTTTCTGATTGGCCGCTGTGTTTCCTGATTGGCCTCTGTGTTTTCCGGTTGGCCACTGTGTTTTCCGATTGGCTGCTGTGTTTTCTGATTGGCCGCTGTGTTTTCTGATTTGTTCATTTGTTTTGTACTTCAGGGCTTCTGTAGACTGGACTCAGACTTTTAAATCCTGGTCCAATTATTTTTGACATTCAAGCACCTTGTTTTTTCTTTTTAATCTTAATCTATTTAATACATTGGATTGCCACCTTATCGTGGTGGAGGGGTTTGCGTGCCTCAGTGACCCTGGAGGCTAAGAGCAATCCGAAAAAAACCCTTATGACAAAGAATTCTATCAAGGTTTCATTTCCTTCGCCTGGACTTCGGTCACCAGGGCCCCACCCTGGAGCCAGGCCTGGGGGAGGGGCCCGTTGGCGAGCGCCTGGTGGCCGGGCCTTGGCCCGTGGGGCCCGGCCGGGCATAGCCCGAAAGAGGCACGCGGGACTGTCCCCAGGTGGGCCCACCACCCGCAGGGGGAATGTCAGGGGTTCGGTGCTTTGCACCTCCAAGTCCGAGACCATGGTTCTCAGCCGGAAACGGGTGGTTTGCCCTCTTCGGGTTGGGGAAGAC